CATACTCTCTATACAAGCAAAGGAGATTGGAGTAGTCTTCCTGTTGTTCTGCTTGTAAGATCTTATCTTCCAATTGATTGAGTTTGAGCTTAGGATCCATGAAGTGGGCTGACTTCCAAGAGATTAGAAAACAGAGTCTAACTTCTTTGTTATTCTGTAAGCTGCATATCCTGTGAAAGGAATATTCCAACCACCTTCAATGGCTTGCTTACAGGAATAGACTGTGAGCTACATTTCAAGGAAACGAAAAGGCTTAGGAAGGTTGGTTCTAGGGGGGATAAATTAAAAATTAACGGGTGATGATCCGAACCCCATTTGGAACCAAGGGTAAGGCTGGCGTTAGGGTAGTCTCCTAACTAATCAAGAGAAACTAAAACTCTATCGGGAGTTCGTTTGAGGTGTCTAGTATGTCTTTTGTTGGACTACGATAGTCCTCCACCCTAAATGTTTACTTCTAGAAGGTTACGATCTACGACAAAATTCCGATATTGTCTAGAAGAGAGAGAAGAGGGGTTAGAGGAAGTAGAAGGTTCCATAGAATTTATGGTAGTTGCCTCATTGGGGTCACCAATGATGGCAAAAGGAAGGTCCGCTTGCTGGAAATATTCATTAAAATGAAGACAGAATTGGTTTCTATGGTGTTTTATTGGTGGACCATAAATAAAAGCTAGAATCCAAGAGAAGTGGTGATCTTGAATTTTAAAAAGCACATACCTGGCAGAAGAAGACAAAAAGGAGACATGAAACCCCGCTTTCTAGAGGTCTGCTAACCCTCCTGCTCTTCCTTCAGGACTGACAGTTATGCAGTTAGGATAATGTAAAATATTAGTCAATTTATTAATTTTATTTTTAGGGATCTTTGTCTCACACAAGAAGATAAAGTCAGGATTGACACAGTTGACAAAGTCCCTGATCCCCTGAACTGCCTTAGGGCGCCCAGCCCTTCGGCAGTTCCAACTAAAGACAATCATTGGTAACGTTGGGGCTGTTTAGGGCCAGCCACCTCTACCCATAGATAAACAAGAAGAAAGGAAGAAAGGAGAGAACTTACTGAACTCTGATCCTCTAAATTTTGTGTGTCCTTAGAATGTCCCACCAGATCGATCATAAGTATATGGCCATTACGAGTCTCCTCAAAGGGAGGATCTGGCCTATCATAAGTTGGTAGACCTGAGGATTCAAGATCCAAGCATAGGTGAGAGGTCAGATCAAGTCTGGGTCGTTTACCTAGAGCACGGGAAGAAGGGCCAGGAGTGTCTTTGAAAAGACGATTCACTAAGTCTTGAGTAGTCTCTACTAAGTAAAAAGTTGCTGCAGACTTGAAGAGTTGGTAGGGATGAGGTTACCGAAACCACCGGGTTGGTAGGAGTCTATGGGGAGGAAGTAGAAACAACCGGCTGAGGTTGGTTAGTAGGTGAGGAGGTTCCTTTAGCAAGACGATTTCTTCGGGTTGGAGGGACAGGCTGGGGGATGTCCACAAAGTCCATGAATCGAAGACGTTGCCAAGTCCGTCGTAGGGTAAGTTCAGCCCTCGGCCAAGGTCTCGGGAGGTTCATAACCCTCCGGCTGAAAAATTGGTCATACGAATGACCCTGAGGGTTAGGCAAAGGTTGAGAGCAGCGGTGAAATTGGTGTCCTATTTTCTTGCAGATATAGCAAACCCAAGGGAGATTCTTATACCTATAAGTGATCCAATTGGTGACAATGACAAAACAGCCTATTCGAAGAGGACGGTCCACAGAGATAGTGACTGTAGCACGGATGTAATTTTGAACAACAGTAACATTTCGAGTGAGACCTAAACGTTCAAAGAGAGGATGACCAATATCTACAGATAGGGATTCAAAGGGAAGGTCATGGATTTGGACCCACACTTCAATCTCTTGGAGATTCCAAGCATACTGAGAAAGACCTTGGATCCAAGGAGACATGAATCCATTGACTGTTTAACATCCAAGGTCCATTTAAATGAACACTGTCATAATCCTCAACAAAGCGGAAGTTTAACTGAAAGTGACCTCTATGCAAAGGAGCCATTAATAGAGTCCCCGGGTCCAAGTTCTAGAGGTCATAAAGGCCTTGAACTACTTCTTCGAATTGGTCTATATTTCAGGGAAAGAGGTGGCAGATAAGCGAGAGTTGCCAGTTTTGGGCAACATTTGGAGATCTAACCCCATAGTATAAGGTGCATCACTGAAGGCATGAAAATCAACAAATTAGCAAGGGAAAAATGATGGAAAAGCTAGATGGAAATATGGATGATTGGTCATTTACAGAGGGCCTGTTTGGCGCATCTTTCCACATGGTCTTTTGGTTGTTTACAAGCTGGGAAGGCTGATTTTCGATCTATTCCCGTTTGGCTCGCGGAAGATCTAGCTGCCAAAAGATGGAGCGTCGAAAAGACTCAAGAAGTTCATTTCGGGAAGCTTCAAATGAAGTTTCTCACATCTTTCGGGTTTTAATCTTGTGCAGAAAGATGCGAGGAAAGACGTGCGTCTGCCAAACGTGCTTTGGGCTACTCAGATTTTCATGCAAAAGCTCAATGTGTCTTTTGCATGCCCAAAAAAACACACCAAACTGTTCTAGAATAAAAAGGCAAACAAGAGCAAAAAAAATAAAGGGTTTCTTGCATATAAAGGCAACTTTTTTCGTTTAATATAAAAAAAAACATAATGATTTTATATAATAATTAAAATAGGGTAAATTTAAAAAAAAATATATCAAGAAAGGGCACAACGCTCGCGGACGGTTCTAGTTGCCAGCGATAACTATGCCCGTGGACGAAACAACGGAAAACGGAAGCCCAGAAGCAAAGCTTTACGACCATGGTGAACGAGAAAACGGAAACCCGAAACAACGCCAGGTTGGCCATACTGGAGCTCGCCAACATCATCAGTGTCCCTCAACGCCATCGTCCGCCTCAAGGTCGCCGACGCCATCCAACAAGGTAGCTCCAACGTCCCTCTCTCCACCTCTGAGATCTTAGCATGTGTCCTCCCAACCGGCGATCCTGACAACCTCTAGCGCATCCTTTGAATGCTCACCATCTACGGTGTCTTCTTGGAGCACATCGCCGATGGCTCCTCGGTGCTAATGCAGAAGGCCCTGTCGGGGGTATTCGTGTCGTTCGTTAAGGCGATATTAAAGGGCTACGATGGGTTCAAAGGGGTGGAGTGTCGAAATGTTAGAAACATTCGCATGAACAGAGAGCAGAGGAAGAAGACGAACAACAATGCTCTTTTTTTTATATTATTTCAAAAAAAATACCTTATTTTAATTATTATATTAAAATATTACTTTTTATTGATATTAAAGGCAAAAAATTGCCTTTATGTGCTAGAAACCCAAAAATAAATAACATGTTCTTAAGTAAATTTGGACATAATTTATGCTACCATGGTGTTGGCTTAAGGTTTTCTTTAAAGCATTCAACCAGCCAATTATTCATCAAAAAAGGGGAAAAAAATCAAATCCCGATGCGGTCCAAACAGATAAGAGTTCATGGCCTGAAAAAAATTGAGCTGTGAGAGAGAGATAAATCCTCATCTTCTGTTAGTTTTCAAAAGGGTTCTAACATTTACATGGGTGTGGTTGGTTAAAGGCCTTTCGGATATCATATCTTTACGACATCATAGATTTTCCCTTAAAATGCAAGAATTGAATGATGTGGAGTAGTGTGTAATTTTATTGGAGGGTCTAACATTTTGCCGTACTTTGAAAGCTTATTACTCCAAATGCGATCTTGAAAACTTTGATTGCTAGCCTGAGTCCACAACTTTATAACATGTCAAAGCTACCAACTGTGGCTTTGTTTTGTTAGTTTAGGTGTCGTTTGGCAAATTTTTTAGAAAGATCTTTTAAAAATCTAGATGACCAAACGACATATTGAGAAGACAAAAATTGTTTGATTAGTAGCTCAGTTTATTGGGCTTTTGAAAATACATTTAGAGGTTATCTATCACATAAAAAGATTAGAAAACTTCACTTGAAGCTTTCCAAAGTTTGGCATTTTCAAGTCTTTCTATGCACATGTCTTCTCGTCTTTCCATCTTTTGATTAATTATCAAACCGAAAAAGACCGATTCTCAGTTATTTGAACTGCACGGAATGACTTGCCAAATGCTGCCTTACTTATCTAAAAAACATCGAAAGGCAAAAATCAAATCACGTATGATTTACCCCACACATTTGTCGTATCCCTCTCCTCTTTTCCAACCTATGCCCTCACCTATAGGAATGACAAGGGGGTAGGTCCCCATCCCCGCTAATGAGGACAATCTTATCCTCATCCCTGTCCCCACGGGGATCCCCATTCCCCGTGATTTTTTATAATATTAATCATTTTGTTCTTGTTTTTTATTTTATTTAAAAAAAATGAAAAAATAATTAAAAATTACAATTATATTCATAAAGATTCAAACATATTCAAACATATTTTTAGAAATATTAATATATAGAGGCGCATGTATAAATAGATATATACATATATAAATGTATGCGTACATATATACACATGTTAGCGGGGATCCCACGGAGAGTGTTCTCTTCGTCCCCATTCCATCCCTGCCAACGGCGTAAAAATTTCTCCATCCCCGTTACCGTGGAAGAAAATCATATCCATCCCCGCCCCATTCGGGGCGGATACCCATCAAAATCTAAAAAATAGAGAATTGCCGTCCCTAATCACCTACCCATGTATTTTATCATGTGTTTTATCAACTACGAATGGAGATCCGATTTGCTCCTCAAGACTCAAGAGCGGGCTTCACACCAATGCACGGCTGAGATGCGCTGTGAGGTTAGCGTGAACGCTATGTGAAGAACAAATCTGATATGTATTATTTTAATATTGATGTGGGGGCATCAGCATTGGTCCCACAGCCTGCTATACAGCTAAAACGTTCGAATTCCCCAAAAATCTCTTCTTAACATCCCCTTATATATGTGCTGTTTAAGCAGCTAAAGTTCACAAACGAAACGAATCCCTGCAACCCTTTCAAAATTAATCATGTATTCAACTTCAAGCACAGTCCGCCGCCGTCCGGTGTCTTTCACCGAAAGAGAAGAATCTCCCAATTCCAATCTCCCCATAAAACAGATCCCCGGCAACTATGGCCTTCCCTTTATCGGTCCAATAAAGGACCGACTTGACTACTTCTACAACCAAGGCCGAGATGAATTCTTCAAGACCCGCATTCAGAAATACGGATCAACCGTCTTCCGAGCTAACATGCCTCCCGGTCCATTCATGGCTTCCAACCCCAACGTCGTTGTACTTGTCGACGCCGTAAGCTTCCCTGTTCTCTTTGGCGTTTCCAAGGTGGAGAAGAGGGACCTCCTCACCGGCACTTACATGCCCTCCACCGCCCTCACCGGCGGTTACCGCGTCTGCGCTTATCTAGACCCATCGGAGCCCAACCACACAAAGCTCAAGCGCCTTATCTTCTTATTGCTTTCGTCTCGTCACAGTAAATATATACCAGAATTCCACAAAAGTTTCTCCGTCCTATTCGACAATCTCGAAACTGAGATTAAAAACAAAGGAGAAGCCAACTTCAATAACCTCAACGATAAGACTTCTTTCGATTACCTTTTGAAGGCCTATTTTGACAAGGACCCGGCTGAAACCAAGATCGAGTCGAAGGGTTCGAATTATGTTACTAAGTGGCTGTTTTTCCAACTTTGTCCCCTGATAACCCTCGGCTTGCCTAAACTTGTTAGCTTCGTGGAAGATATTCTTCTACACACTTTTCCTCTCCCACCATTTCTCGTCAAGTCCGACTACATGAAGCTCTATGATGTCTTCTACACCTCTGCCGCTGCACTTTTAGATGAAGCAGAGAAAATGGGGCTTAACAGAAAGGAAGCTTGCCACAACCTGCTCTTCGTTACGTGCTTCAATGCCTACGGKGGGATGAAAATTCTTTTCCCTGCCTTAATGAAGTGGGTTGGCTTAGCTGGAGAAGAGCTTCACAAACAGCTAGCCGACGAGATCAGAGCAGCGGTTAAAGCGGAGGGAGGTGTGACCTTAAA